CCAATTAAACAAAAAAACAATTCTATGAGGATAGGAAACATTTGTAATGGGTTTTCTCCCAAAACAATGTCTCAGAAATATATATAGAAATAGTAAAATTATATAACTTATTTTGAAGCAAGATCTAGATAACACATTTCAAAATACTGTTTTACAAGTAGAATACTATCTGATGCAAGTAAACAGAGATATAAACTAGCATAGTGCACAAATCACAGAGGCAAAATTTTTCACGAAACACACAAGAATGATACTATACTATATATATAGCTGCCTACTTGCAAGACTGAACACCATTTGTTGTTTACAATGAACAAGAACTGGTCTATAACATAACACCTTTGGTTGGTTAGTACTCACATGAGTGTCCAACAACATGATGCATTTTACATGGTTGAAATCATGTTCACACACACAGACTTGAATAATGTTGCGTGTGATGCACAGTAAAGCACTCAAATTTATAAATGAGACTCTCATGCATGAAGAGCCACAAATTTTAAAATAAAACAGCACACAGTGTTGGAGTTCTTTAAGGAAAGGAAGTAAGGTAAGTATGATCAAGTAAAAGTAGTAAATTGATAATACATTTTACCCAATAGTTTGATTTTTTAAGGAAAGGAAGTAAGGTAAGTATGATCAAGTAAAAGTAGTAAATTGATAATACATTTTACCCAATAGTTTGGTTCTTTAAGGAAAGGAAGTAAGGTAAGTATGATCAAGTAAAAGTAGTAAACTGATAATACATTTTACCCAATAGTGTGATCCATATACATACATTAGATGTATATGTATTATACTACGTGTAATTTTTTAGGCTATGTCTCTGTCTACAGGTATGAGAGTGAGGAAAGTAGCAAGGAAATACATGCGATTAGTTGAGAAATATGACATCTTAAGTGTACTTAAATTGCTTTTTGTTAACCATTTGATGTTGATTTCTGTTTGAGCATCTGTCAAACAAAAATTAACATCACAAGGAAGGAATGGATTAAAAACAGCAAATCCAAACCTGTGATGAAAGACATTTTGATTAATAAAACAGGCCCAAACAACACAAAAACTACATTAAAGACTGCATACATTAAAAGGAACTCCAGAGTACAGGCTATAATGTAGGATATAAAAAGTGCCCTGGGTTTTGGAAGCGACTGCAGAAGTAGGATTTACATTGTGGTAAGGATAAACCATCTACCAGTCTTAACCTCTGTTTGTTAGTCTCACATGTTGAAGAAAACAAAATTACCAAAAAATAGTAACAATAATCAAATAAAGTATTCAAAAAATATAAGTTAGGTGAGGAAGATGTGGGTGTGCAACCCCACAACATCTACATCTATATCACCCTTCTCTGCCTGCAGACGGTTGTGGGAAGGTGACTGCTCACCAAAGTAATAAATTAGGTAGGATGTGGTAGGAATTTATAATCAAATAATTCAATAAAAGTGGGATTCTATGGGGGGGGAAGACAGATTTTATTTTTCCGAATAACAGAAAACGTTTATGAAAGTATAATGGTACCCATCTCAATGGGCAGGCAACTAATTATCAAGATAAAATATACCACTCTCTATCTCTATGGCTGATTAAACATAACAAAATCACACTTACAGCCTCAAGCTCTTCTTCTAACATTTTTTCATAAGGGTGTTTCTCTAAATAAGCAAGATGCTGGGCTTGGTTCAGAACAGAAGAATGTGGCTGCTTCGGTTTCTTGCTGCCAGGTGCAACTCCAATCTGTTGTGGTGTAGGGTTGTGTACAGCATCATGGTGAAACATGATTAACATTTCCTGTTTAATGAGTTCTTCAGCCTTCTGAAGAGCTGTGAGAGGAGGATCTGAATTTAATGGCCGCAAGATGGAGGAGTTCACTTCAACAGGCCTGGGTAAATTTCGTTGAACAGACTGGGACTGACGTTTTCTTTCAGCATCCACTAAAGTACCAAAGAAATAACTTAAATCAAAATTCATTTCCAAATGTAATATTTATATCTGCATCCTAATACATTGTTCTTCTGAGCATTGTATTAATCCCAAAGTGAATGAATTTTATGGTGTATGTATGAATCAGTACTGAGTTGCATTTCACTAGAAACAAATGAGAATGAAATGGTCTTTATTAACTTGCAAAATGTTTTACAGCAATGCAATTTTTCACTTTCAAAAGATCCAAAAATTGTTTGTTTTTTTTTATTATGAGCTTGTTGACCTCCATCATTAAATTCATCTATTCACCCACTTATTTCAATTTCCAAAAAGAACTGAATTTAGGCACAAGCAGGGCAAACAAGTCTTTCAAATACATCAGTTCATTCTGGAAACAACTGCACAAATTTTATTTATTTACTATAGGATAAACAAATTTCTCTCAAATTGGAGAAAACAGTCTATAAAATCCTTACCAGGGTGATGTTGATTGTACACAATTTTAACTTACACTTTAATGTTTGCTTGTGTAATTGATTGTGATCACCCAAAAAGCTTTCTTTTGATCAACTTGTGCTCATTTCACCTTGAAGAAACTACAAGTCCATTTTAAAATGTACTCAAATACATTTATGAAGATTTCTCAAACACACACAATGAAATAAATTTAATAACCTAAGATATTCAAGGTATCTCTACATCAATGTAGAAATTATCCCAATGATTGGAAATATTGTCATTCAGGACATAGAATGGTTAACGCCATCACATAGTTTTTAACTTACTCTGGGCTTGTCTTTCCGCTTCTTTCTTGGCATCAATATCGGACTGGTCTTCTATGTAGCCACGTTCATCCATTCCATCCTCTTGCCACTGTTGTTGCTCATCCTCCGGTACAACAATTTCATAATCATTTCTAGGAGTTGGAAGGGTTGATAAAGCTTTCCTCAGTTGATCTTTGCTTTCCTTCTATGAAATCAAAGGACATGTTTTTTTACTACAAATAATAAAATCTAATAAAATGGCCATAATAGAGACTAGGTAGAATCCACTAAGTCATGATTTCATTCATTATTTGCAAAATGGGGAAATTTTGTATTAGTAAAACATACAATATTTTCTGAAATTTTCTTACCAAGATCTAGTTGATTTTGTCATTTTTAAATAAATATTTAAGAGAATATTGACAATGTTTTCTGCAATATGGTATGAATCTTTGAATTCCTTGCTTAAAAACTATACACACAGTTGTCATCAACCTGTTAATACAGTGTACACATCTCCAAAAATAGATATAAGAGCCAAATCAAGTAATTTTAATACATATGGTGTGAATGCCTTTTACAAGCTGGCAAAGAATGATTATGATTATACTTGTCATAAGAAATTAGTATTAGGCCTATTGAATTGTTTAAACACTACATTCATTATCTAATCCCTTCAGGATTTTGAAGATTTAGAAGAGTGTATAATAATAGCATTCCAACCATTGATGCATTTTGCTCAATCCAGAGCTCTTCATGCCAGCTGGGATACAACAGGTACAGAAGTGGTTGGAACACTATTTATTCTAATCTCACTAATGGAATAGATAAAGAATGTAGTTAAAAATATAATAATTAATGTCTCATGACAAGTATAATTAGAATCATGCTTTGCCAGCATATAAAAGATGTTCATTCACGCCATAACAGTTTTTGTTGTGACAAATGATATGTATAAATAGCATTCTGACTACTACTGTACTTATTGTATCTCAATCAATCTGAATAGCTTAGGATTGAACAGAAATGTGTCATCAGCAATGGATATGATTAATATAGTGTGGTTAGAATACTATTAGTATATATTGATCTAATTCTTGAAAATCCATAAGTGATTAAATAAAGAATTTAGTGTTTAAAACTATAATTGTTCTAATACTAATGTGTTATGACAAGTATAATTATAGTTTTTAATAATGTTTGATACTACCACTTCAGATATGGCCTAGTTTTTCTTTACTTTTCACTTAAACAACAATAACTTCTGCTCCAAAGCTTCAACTTACAGCAGGCCCTGGAAAGCTAACATGCTCATTTCAAAAGCATGTGTTTGAATAATAAAGTCAAAAAGGGTAATAGCAAACTTAAAAGACCACTACAACAGTGTTAATACTTGGATAGCTAGTTTTTAACATATTTAGGATCTATGAATATATATACGTTTTTTTATATTTTTAGCCATCTTTGAGAGAAAGACAAAATATTATTATATCCATAAACTCTCCACTCAGCCAGCTGAGCTCATGTACTAATGTTATTATGTTTAAATTTTACAAAAAACATTCCTTTCTTTGAAACTTTACTTTTGCCTAAGAAAATATTAACATACCTGATACTGTTTAGCAGACTGTGCATCATCAAAACCTAAACTATCTTCAGGATTTATACTGAGTTTATCACGGAGAGGAGTTCCACTTGGTGTCTGTGATTGTCCATGAGTTGCGGTACCTGGGGTTGCACTACTAAATGGCGTATTTCCTGTTAAACAAAGCAGTTGTCACTATGTCTATTAATTTTAATTGCACATTTCTTTCTTATCTTATTTTTCCTTAAAACATTTTAGAAAAATTAGTTCATGTTATTTCCGTTTCCCAAATAACACAGAATGACAGATGAATGGAATCTTTATGTTCCAATTTCTTATTTTCAATTAAAAGTTGAAAAAAGCCCAGGAAAACATAAAATAAATTTTCAGCCAATCACTACGATAAATAAGTTAACAAACTTTAATATTAGATGCAAGGTAAATGAATAGAAAAAAATATATATTCACTCATTTATTAATAGGCACAATGAAAGCAAAACAAAAAATGACCCTACTGATTATCTACTAATTCAAAAATGTAAAATAAATTATTAAATAGACCTCAAAGAAACAAGAAAAAATTATACTTCTTTGTGATAGAAGTCTCGTTAACAAGAAAGTTGAAATATCCAATTTACAACACTCTCTACTGTAGGTTTAGCAGAAATGATGAAACTATTACATAGCAACTAAAGAACTGGAATACAAACACATGACTGTCCAACTTGAATATTAGGTCCCATAGTTTTAAATTAATACAATTTTTTTTTGTAGATTTTCAGTTTAACATGCAGTTTTTCCAATTTCAAACAATGTTTGTGAATATAGTTAAAGTTCTGGAGGTATTCCATATAGTTTTTAAATAAAAAAGTAAAATACGCAGATAATTATGAGATATAAAAAGAATTAAATAAATGGAGTTCACATTTCAATAGTTAACTTGGATTCATCCTGATGCATGGTTAACTTCAGAGAAACATTGATGTTGTTTGTTTAGTTTTTTTATATCCATTCTACTTGGACCCAACAAACCGATGGGAATAAAACCTCGGAATAACTGGCACGACTCTCTCTCTCTGCCCCCAGATCAATCAGACTCTGATAGCCCTAGAACTAATTTCCAAAATCCGAAGATCTGCAGAAGACAGAAACTCGACAGGTTGGGTGGATAATGGTGGTGAAGATGTGAACTGAATGACTATTCCTGACTCAAGGACCTGCAGTGCCCATGGATCCCTGGTTAAGGTTTACCACACATCCAGAAATTCTTGGAACCAAGCCCCCATAGAACCCAAAGGCATACAATAGTCACCGACGCTGCTTGCAGTGTTCTGACTTTGCAGTGGAACTATTGATTATGGACAGAATCTATTCAGGGTACCAATGGACTGAGGGGCTTATGTTGGGGGTCAGGACCCTCGAATAGGAGCAGAACTATGACCCATTCTAAGGGCTGAACATAGGGATGAATGTAGAAGCCGACAATCAAACCAATGTGCAGCAAACAATGGTTCCAGCTCATCATCAATTTACTTGGTGATCCTGAAAGTCTTCCAACAAAGTTTAGAGGGATAATAAATAAACCACCACTGTATATAGGGTGAGACAAATCCTAGAATGTTGTTTGTTTTAGGAAAACAACACGTTGGACAATCTACTGTGTCCACCACAGTGAATCGAATGTTGGAGATGCAAGTCCTTAGACTTACTGCTGTCCCACCAGGGGAAATTGATCTATTCAGATTAACTACAAACTCTGCTCTACAACCCCAAATTTCCAGAAGCAGTTGTATTCTTTGAGAGTCGGAATATGCTTTCACCTGGCTGTGGTAGGCTAAATCATGTGGTTCCGACAACAGTGGTGGACAAAGTATAGCTGTCCCTTCACATAACTGAGCAGTAAACCTTAGGGAAAACTAGGTATTCACTCCCAGACCTTTCAGCCATCAAGTAAGGTGCAGGCTCAAAAGCAACTGAGGAAAGATCCAAAACATCATACATTTGACAGACTAACTGAAGAAATAGAACTTGAGGCAACTTATCCCAAAGTGAACTCCTGAAAAGCCAACAGAATGAAAGAAGGCACAGGAAAAAGTTGAATCTAAATTCTCTCCAGAATGTCCAGGATCGTCCTCAACTGCAGCCTCAGAGCCCCCTGGAGGAACACCACTGAACCAAATATATATTTCCATC